TGATGCTAAACAATTTCACTTGATAGCAGAACCATGAGATTCGGTAAGTTACATACTCTTTAATATGGATTCGATCTTACGATTAAGAAGTTAAACTTATAGCTGATGATCAAATATTAAACTAGTGATAATAAATATAATCATAATTATGGCCAAGCACGAAATAGTATGCCTATGATCTTGTAAACGACGACTAACGGTTGCAGCTTATATTGCTAAGCATAGTCACTATTGGCGTAAGCTAAAGTAAGGAAAAATTTTTTGATCAGCAAAATTAAATGCTTTTCTAAAGTAAGATCTAGACTATGTAAGCAATAGCAAACTATCCACTAACATTGGCTCCTGTAATATTTAAGCAATGAATCGCTTTCTAATATTAAGGCAGATGAGCTTGGTTATCGTTTCATACTTAGCTACCTACAAGTCCATTGACGGACTTAATGACTAAAGTCTAACTTAAATCCTTCATTTTCAACTACCTTTGCGCTTGGTTATGCGCATATCTAGAAAATTGGAGATTGTTGAAAAAAGTTCCTACTTTGTAAATAGTGTTTAGCTTACCCAAGATCCTGGAATTGCTACAGCCGTAAAGTGACATTACATAATAGTATAAAATTAACGTAGTATATATACACTTTATAAAATACTACTTTTCTGATGAGCTTAAATCATTTCGTCCTTCATCGGACTGATCAATCAATACATTTTTGATATACCTTCTCTAACTATTTAACACTAAAGTACTTCCGCAGAGTTAGATGGAATATTTATTTCATCAATAGAACTGAGAATAAATCAAATCACAAATTAAATATTTTGCTAAGCCAAATTGAATTCTATCGTCATAGCAGAACTGCTCTTCAATCAAGACTACATATTGCTAGTTTATACTCAGGCACCTTAATTAATTGATTGATCACCACCATTTTGATTCATATAGGGATAGTTACACTAAATCGTTTTGATTATTTACTGACAGTAAAGAGAAATAATTAATTATATGGATGAATACGTTGTACTGTTATAATTCTAAACCTGATATCTTGACGATAGGATTTTATTCTGTCAATTTCTTATATTTATGATAAATCCTTTAGGTTGATATTCAATTATTTTTATTGAGACTAAAATACCGTAAACTAAATTACTACTTGAATACATGATTATAATTCTTTGAGTTAGTCATTACATCACAATAAAATAGGCATGAAATATCTAAAATCATAATCTGGACTCCCGAACTAGACTATCGTATTCTCATTTAATTAGATTGATATTATTATTCACAGTAGTACTACTTTCAGTTGTTTTAGTCCTATAGTTGATGTGCTGTATAAACAGTAAAGCAAGTTATATGCATAAATGCAAAATAATAAATTACTTATAAATATTGTGGGCGTATTCTACTGAGTCATTTCTAAAAAAAGAGAGAATATGTTTTATAATTACTAAGGCTCCCCGTATAGACTATAAACAGATTTCTATCTTATAGCAACCAAAATTTGCAATTTAAGAATCATTTGCTATCAAATATCAAGTACTAACGTTGGTAATTATTGCTAATACTTTGCCTACTGTGAGTCGAAAATTGAAACTTCCGATTGAAAGAATTTAGTGCAACAAAAAAGTTTATTTGCACTGTACTAATTTCTAGGTAGAATAAAATTAACAAATACGTAATAATCGCTAGCCATACCATAATCTTCTTTACGACATCAATTAATCATAAATCAATTTAACCAGATCATAACATAATGCGAATATCATGAAGGCGATATATATTATATTGAACAAAACCTTGCATTCTTGAATAATAAGTAACATAATTTTTGTTTCTATTCATGCCTTGTGGGAAATGGTGTATAAATAAGTAAGGAAATTCTGATTTAAAACTGTTTATCATGGTATCGTAATAACATGTTACTGAATACCGGTTAATATTGGACAAAATCTTTCAAGCTCGAATAAATAAGTAACATCGTTTATGTTTCTCATGCATTTCGTGTGGAAATGCATAAATAAGTATGAATATTCTAATTTCAAACTATTTATCGAGATATTGTATTATATGGGCAGAGTTTATTCTTGGTATACGTATTGAGATGGTAATGATAGGGGATAGATTTCATTTTTGTATTTTCATCCTCTATTTATAAGAAAACAATATTTGCTGTGTACGTATTTGTTTATTACAAGTACAGCACGTAGGATACAGTGTATGAATTGGATATGATTGCTTGCTAACCGTTCATTATCATACTATACTTAACATGAGTTTGATAGGATGCTTCACAGGTTTTAGACACTATATCTAAGGACAATCGCTGCGTTATAATTGCTGAAGAATCGATTATAGTTATTTCTGGCGTTAAATAAGTTCTTAAAAATGACTAAAGGTAAATAGCGTTCTTGCTCAGTACAAATAAATTTAGGGTTATAGTTAGTATGTGATCATTTTGGCAACCCTCAACTATCCGTGGTGCAGCTAATTTTACCTCTATGTATTGGCAGAATCTGCTATCTCAATGCCTTTTGGCCTAAATTTATCCGGTAGAATTAAATGGAATTCGTATCTCTGACTTATCTCATTATTTAATAGCAGTGTTTTAATTTTACGATGATGCTGTATAAATATATAATAAGGAGGAATGAAATAGTATACCTGTAGCTATACTCCAGTCTCTGTAGTGATATCGATCGTAGTTAAGAATAAATGTATTGTAGATGATGTATGAAAATAAAAATGAAATAAGAAAGAAAAACGATGATGCTATTAGAGCTAAGGCAGCAATGTTGAGTGGAGCATATGGCAGATATTAGCAAACAAAAGTACATCAAAGCTGCTCTTGACAATAGCTGTGATCGTTCAGGTATTCTTCACGTATATGTTTTCGTAAGGTGTATGTTTACTAATAACTAATTTTATTGATACCAATTTATGATTGATGGCTTGTAAAGCATGTTGACATTACTAGTCACAATGTCCTAACTGAAATTTCAAAAATTTCGCATTGTATAAAGAATGGATAAGAACACGAGCATAGTTAAGGAGAAAATTTACCTGTAATTTTAGCGCAGATACTTTTGATACTTTTGTGTAAAGTGCTTATGAGTCATTGAGTATTAACTCGATCATTTCTAAAATGCTTTTAACTCATAAAGAGGACACCGTAAGAAATTACTGTAGGCTGCGTAGAGAATTCGAAACGGCATATATTCACAACTTGCTAAACTGGATAGTTAGCTTACTCAAAAGAGTACATAAGGAAAAATGTCATTATCATACTTCGCTTCCAAATGATTATGGTATGCGTATAGGAAGCAAATTAAGGGCTTAAACGCTATGATCTATTTATAGCTAACTACTTTATTTCCGCAGAGGTAATTCTTATTGATCCGTATCTTGTCTTTAATATGAACAAATAGCTTTATTAAGCTATCGTATTTATATCGATAAGTCATACAAAGTATTTAAGAAGTCAAAATTGAATACCACATTTATCCATCAATTATCTACGGAACATTTTTAGTGTTACCAAGCCAGGGTAAGAGAAATAAGGCTAATTCATAATAAATTGAAGCTAAATTATTAAAATATGCTACTAGTAAGTTTGTCATTTCAATGCTAATATTTTAATCTTTAATTATTAGAGTTTTATATCTATGCAAGTGTGGTAAAGTTCCAGCTGTTATAGCAGCTAAAAGCTGTTTATAAAACCTAAAACAAATATTATGCGTACTATTATGATAAAGAAAGAAAAATTGACTACGAATTTTAATGCGAAAATTTGTAAATCTTCAATGTAGTAAGATGTTAAAATTAAACATTCTACGTATAATTTATTTTAAGTCTGTAGCAGTACGAGAATAATAAGGCGTTATAATGATGTGAGCATTTATACTATCTGTTCAATGAGAAAGTAGGAATAATTATGATAGATATTTGATAATTTATATTTATCAATGTAGGAAATCAATACAATTCTAAATGTTAATTTGTCAACATGTAAAGACTATAACTTACTTTATTGCGATGAAGCGGCTATAATATGTTTTGTAGAGTATATGTGTCTGATTATCAATTATTTACTACTAGTCACTCTTTCGAACAAATACTATAAGAGAAAATATAGTCCATGTTTTTAATATATAGCACATATCTTCGCTCTATAATTAAAGCATCAAATACCGATGAAAAAATTTTCTACAGCATTTCATTCTAATAATAAATCAAAATTACCATCATCGTTACTAAAAGACCTATAGGGAAATAATTATAGGGAGAGGAAAAAACACTGTAGTGCTACGAAATAAGTATTAATTGAAAATAAATTTTATCCTAGAGGTATTTGTTATAATCATAAATTTGTTGATTATGATATATACGGTATTCTTTCAAAGCTATCCTGTCTTAATAATTCAGAAAGATAGTAGATCAAACCAAGACCTTATTTAAAATTACAGGATCCATAAATTCGAACGTCTCAAAAGAACTCAAAATGTTAAACTAAAGTCCTAACATTGAGTATTATAAAACCTTAATTTCAAGATAACAGCATAATCTACAAGTCTAACAAGCTGTAAAATTAACATCAAAGTTTAGGCGCTAATCAACTGATGTTTGACATTATTGTTTGGTTGCTGCATAACTTTGAACCATTGTTGAATAGTCAAAATGAGGATTCCATTAATCTATTAGTTATAGAGTCGATGTTATGACTTCTGACATTTCGAGATCTATATGCGCTGAAATTGAAAATTTATTTTCAGTGATTACAGTACTCACTACTAAACCTTACCCTTTAATTAAAGCATAATTTCAGTATATGGATAATTCTATCAATACGATATGCTATAAAGCAAATATCTTGATTCGAATGTATTTGAGTAGTAAATTAGCAGAAATTAAAACGTTGTCAAGAAACTGCGCTTTTGAAGAATTTATTTGAAATCTCATATTTGGTATACGGATAATATTAGTAGAATTTGGAGTTGATATATTAATTTCTAAATACGTCTTGAGAAGTTAACGAATTAATATTAAAGCATCGCCCTGTAATAGCACGTTGTAAAATTTTATTTTGTACTTTAATTTGAAATTGCGAATCAATATACAAAATATGATGGGAGAGTAAATATTGTGCGATAGCGTTACCATGACCGTCTTGACAATTTTGATTTTGTCGCGGTTGCCTAACTAAGCAGTCAAGATAAGTTCGAATGGCTTGATGTAACTTTTGTCCTTGCCCAACTAATTTGAGTTGATGGTCTTGTTCAGCATGGGTCATGGCCGACATTAGTTGCATACATGCATCCCAGGATATCTCGTCTATAGCTAACTGCAATGCTGTATTGATATCGTGATTTGTTTTCAATTGTTGATATTTAGAAAATAAGGCAATCCATGAGCCAGCATGGCCACCAATGGTATCCCATATACGCTCAAATTCGCCCTCATTCCATAATTTATAATTATAAACAACATCTTGTCGCGCATTCTCAACCTCCATTTCATCTAGTAATAAAGATGCAACCGATTCAATACTATGCAAATGATGTCTTTCACTAGCCCAAAAGTGAAAAGAAACTTCAACAATTACTGGTACGAAATTGTTTTGCCCAAGATAGTTTTTGTTCATTAAACTATGAAAATCTTGACGCCATCGCTGATCAATTTGATAATCTAATGCTTGTAGATCAACAATTAAAACTGGACTAATTTCAGGCCTGACTGTTGTAATGCTATTTAATAAAATACGTAGTAATGTTAATGTAGGAACAGATTGCGTTGTTAATGGTTGAAGGAGGCCATCACCTAGTCGTGCTTTTAAATAACTTTTAATGTTATATAAACGCCGATTTAAGGTAAATGTTATATCGCTTATTAAATAGCTTAGCCAAGAGAAATTATACCAATCTTGATGGTGGAAGTTTTTAAGTATTCGACGATAATGACGATAGGCTTGGTCGATTTCTTTCATTTCCTGCAGGGTCAAAGCTTGATATTGTCCATGGCCTAATATTGTATATCTCATAATAGCGAGTGGATATTGCTGTTGATGGTGATCATCATGCCGATGTAATTGGGTTAATTCTACTTTGACTACAAGTCGACTATGCTTAGCCCAGTAATCGCCAATGAGATCAATACCTAATGATTTACCCGACGATTTTGGACCCCAAGCTAATAAAACTGTACTTGCTGGTATACTACAAGATGTGTAATACATTAAACGATTTAAGTAATGATGAGAATCAAGATAAGGTAATGATTTCGGATGATTACTATTATAATTGGACTTAATATTACGTACGATCGTTGGTAGTAAATTTTTGTGTATGCAATAATGGCGTAAGATTTCTGTAGCAACTTGGCTTTCTTGATTCATAAAATTGGGACGATTTTGTTCATCTGTATTTAAACTTTCCCATGTTACGATTGGTAAAACGACAATACAAACTGATATTAAGACATGAAAAATAAAATTCGAACCATAACCAGGCTGTCTTAGCGTCGCTAAAAATTTACCAAAATCTCCCAATATCCAACTAATGGTATTGATAATGCTCTTAAAGAAGATGTAAATAATTGCCAGAAAGAATTTTCCAATAGATATGATTAACATTTTACTGGTTGCAATAGCTATAAAGTTTCAGCTAGCAGGAAAGAAAGATTAAGACTTCAACATGGAATCTTTCTCTAATTGCTATATTAGAGCATATGTTACTTATATCTTGGAGGCAGATTAGTTAAGACTTTTTGATGATAGTTCCCACATCTAAATGAAATTTAAATGATATTGGTAGACATAGAATATTCTATTTACAGTCTTGAATGCAGCAATATAGGATATGTTGTATATGCTAGATGTACACTGTATAGTATTAATTATGATTTTGATATCCTGACAATATTGATATAGCCAAATACTAACTAGCGGTAGCATAATAATGCTGAGGCATGACATTAATGACAGTTTAGTACAGATCAAATAGAGTAAAATATCGACATCGACCATGTAATAGCAGCATACTAGTGAACCTTATGCCTGAATTATTGCTTTTGCATTCATTAGTTTTATTGAAAGCATGTTATCCGTGTATGTATGTACCAATACAGTATTGGTAGATAGATAATTTAATAGAATACGCGGGCTTTTAAGATAATTTAATTAGCAGCGAGATCTATCTAATTGGCTATTATTTGGCCAAGCCGTTGACTTTGACCGCTTATCATTATTCCTTTTGCAATTTTTGATGCAAAATGTCCCCATAGAAATACGTTAACACAGTATAAACAGCCAAGCTACTATATTGTATAAAAACTCTTGGTGCATCAAAAACCTGATGTTAAGAAATCATGCAAGTAATACCCTCCTTAAATTTTACAGATTAATAAACTGAATATCCAGTACGGTAGATGCAATATCATTGCCATTTCGGAGCTTCAAATCTATACGTTCGAAACTTGAAAGCAACTTTCTAAAATTATTTCCAAAGGATGGACACGTACAATTTTATGTTGATAGAGCTTACGAATGATAAGTAAATTCTTTGCATGTATAAGCTGAAGAAGTTCGCACAGTTCCTTTAGATCTAAGTTTCGCAAATCCAGCATCGAATAGTATCTGATTTAGTCTGAGTACTATTGCTATCTTCAGCTATTCTAGATCTTAAAATCTTATACTGTTTGTGTTTGAAAATGGTTAAGGTAAAGCTAAATGCGCAAGTGTTTCATGGGTTGAGCTTATTTTAATAACTATTTTCAAAAATATAATATATATTAACCTATTCAACTTTGCAAACAACATAAATTGTCAATCCTATGTAATGCCAATTAAATTACGTCATGTAAAAGCAACATTTTTTATACACAGTTAATTCCAAGTACATTAATTCATTCCATACTATATAATTGGAGTAGACAAATGCATACAATAATGGGTATTCAAGTTATATTTGAAGTTAAAAATATTACTCGTAACATTAACGTGTATTACTATCTCAGGGGTATAAGCTTATCAACAAATATCATTAACTGAATGCTGCAACTATGGTATAATAATAATTAGTAACAAAATTTTGCATAAAATTGTGTTTACTGAGCGCTTATTCATTTACAATAAGTTCGTTCTAGAAGCATAATATTTTACAAAGAGTAGACGATGAGATAAACATTATATTACTAAATATTTATTACATTGCTTTATCAGCTATCATTTGTTCTACTATGGTAATAAATTGTGCAATGGAAAAAAGATTCGGAGTTGCAAGCTGGCATCTTTGCAATATATCTTCCACACTACAAAGTTATGTACATAATAATAAGAATAAAAAGTTCGCAATATCCAATAAATGCTCAAACACGAAATCTAAATTAAAGTTTTACCTGGTGCTGCCAATAAAACTTAAAATGGCAAACGATGGGTATTTGCTTGTGCCTTCACAGCTGTACAAACTTGTTAGATCATCAAAAACTACACGGAAATAAAGCTTCTCACTATGGAATGTAAGACTTAACCTACAGTAGTTAGCAAACATTAAATTAGTTTAGTTTCTTAAATGTGGCACATATTTGATTAAAAGCGGTTTAAATGTATAGAGCAAAATGTGACCTACTTAGGATCTCGTAACAAAACAGGATGCAAAATATCGATGTAGAATAATCGTTTGCTGAAGCTGTATATTCTAGTTACATTATTCTGAACTTCACGCCATAGCTATACATGATTTATAGATATACATTAAGCCATTTCTTGTTTTATAGAAAATCATTAATCATATTACACAAGAGCAGGTTCCTGTGATCTAACCTTTACTTCTTCGGATCTATAGGGATATTTGTCTTTCAGGATATCGATGTTAACAACTGAGTTGTATAAAATCTCCAGAATTTTCGGGAAAGGAGGATAATAGTGTTCTATAATAATGATGATCATCAAATAGCAATTTCGGATTATGAGGAAGGAAATTAAATATTAAAGTCCATAAGGATAAGATTAATTCAGCTACTAAATAAAATTTTACTTGAAGGATCGAAAGCTGCTGTAATGGAAGATAGTAAGTCACCTGAAATGGTTAAGAATCGAAATTCGATCAGATATTGCAATGTACAGTACAGTACACGAGAAGACGATTAAATAAAAAATATACGTACAAGAATCATATGTAGTAGAAATTGTGAGTAGTCCATGAAAGAAAACCATAGATGTACTATTAGTATTAATATGTACATTTTCAACACCAAATAGCCTATAACAGATTTTAAGGTTTAGTTATATTGTGCTAAAATACTTTAAAATTTTAGTCCACGAATATACTTTTTAAATAGCCTTTTTCTGCTCGATATTAATTCCATCTTAGCGTTCGATTTTTGCATCTAACCCGTAATAAATATTAAATAGTAAATCAATATTTATTTAAATGACTGGATAACTGTACTATTTAGTAAATGCATACCCGTTCTGTCGCTTCTTTTATTAGATAACGCTTGTCTATTATCTTGTTCTTGATATCGCTAATTTTTTGTATAAGTTCTTGTTTTTGTCTGGTTAAAATTAAAATTAATTCATTAGTCATAATAGGACTAACGTGAATGGAACAAGTAAAGAGAAAGACTTACGCTTCAAAAGATCCGGCCTTAGTTTCTTCCTGCACAATTTCTAATAAAAAAGATTCATGATGTTATCAATAGTAAGTAGCAAAAGAAAGACAGCCGAATCACAGCTTAGATACTTACCACTACGCTTAACTTGTAATTCCTTATTCAGAAGTTCTATCTCTTCGTTTCGTTGGTTCTAGTAATGATATAAACAAATTTATGAGTAACGGATAAAATAGGTTAGGTATGTCGAGACTAATATATTTCAATTACCTCTTTTTCATTAGCTTTTCGCTCCAGATTAGCAACACCATTTTCTATAGCTGTTATAATAAGCAAAGTATAGGGTTATATCGCAGATATCAAATTGCTCTACATTATCAGAATACGATCTATTTGAAGTAAATACATTTCTCAGTGTCTTTACCTTTCTGCATTGTAAGGCACAACTGTTCACTGGCTTCTTTTGTTTGCTTTTGCTGGTTGATATCTCCTTCTATGTCACTGATCTTATTCTGGAATAATGTTGCAAAATTTGATTAGAGATTGAATCCTAATTATGCGGCTAATATGTTCATTACCGTTAGGTTGCTTAGAAGATTATCGTTTATTTCAAGTTTCCATTTCATCCACTGATATTTAGCTCCCTCCTCGTTTATTCTTTTAAAAGCTTGCATTTTGTCTCTGATAGCCTTCAATTTTATAAACACATTAAACTATAGTTTCTTGTTCCGCCAATTTATAGTAAAATTTTGTACTTACATTGGCATTCTCATTCTTTCCGAGGTCTGCATAAAGTTCTGGCAACATAGTAATTAATTTTCTAGCACATTTATTACTATCGGAATCCAAACTGAAAAATGAGATGCACAATTTTCGAATAGAAGTTAATATTAATAATTCATCAAAAATTGGTAGATGCGGGTACAGCGTGAGAGGTTAATGCTACGGCTATACCTCTCAATCCGTTCCTCTATGGAGCTACTAGCGTCATTATATAAATCAACTTTCAATCGTGTAATTGCTTGATCTTTCCAAGCCTCAGCTAAAGTCGGAGGATGCTTATCCTGCGATTATGGGGGATAAGATTGATGTAATATTTATACGAACATGATTTGCCAAAAATAGTGCGGCTATACAATTATCTTACAATTCCTCGATAAGTGGTGTGCCTTCGCTTCGTACAGTATTTGTTACCGAAGCTGATACCAAGGTATCTTAATAAATCTTCCAAAGAGTAAGAAGGCTCCGTATGACTTTCTTCCTATAAATTATAAGAGCATGGTAACGTAAAGTTTGCCAGGATAAGAAAATTAGCTTTAATCTATACGCGTATTGCATTGTGACGCTTTTACCGTAGTCATGGGCTGCGTATCAACAGTCGTTAATTGCTGCCTGAAAGTCGAATAGTACATAAAATCGATTAATATCAAAACTCTTTGTAAGAAATGCCACTGAATTTAATTTCTGTTATATGTCTAAATTAATTTGATTGCTCCGATGGCGACATATGCGTGAGAAGCATATTAAAACGTTTAGCACTTGCTTACTTATCGGGTGAGGTAGCATTGATTTCTTTAGAGTTTTCAGTATCCTCTGAGGCATTAGAAATTGATACTAAATCAATAGGAGCCTCGTTTCGTAATTCAAATTGTTCTTTTATGTCATCAAAGCTGTTACATTTCATAATCTCTAGTTCATTCTTGGTAAAAGTATCACCATCAGTCGGTTTATTGACAGGGTCGCTTAAGGTAACTGTGTTATTGTTTATTGATGCCTTGTCAGGATTAGATCGGATAATTGAGGCATTGATGTTGGATTCAGCAACCACAGCGTTACTAGCGTTCATATTCGAATTAATATGACTACCATCGCAGTCGTCATTACATCTTAAGCTATTCGCTAATGTTTTCGGCTCAATATCAGGGTTAGTAATATCTTCTCTTTTAGATTGATTTTGAAGTAAATCTGAAGAATTGCTTAGCTGTGGAAGTGGTGATTTAACTGTAACATCCATGCTTTCATTCACTGACGTTGTGGTATCGTTGATTGTATGACTTTTTTGGATATTTTCATTCTTGACCGACAAACTCCAGTTTAAGTCCAATGAGGTATTTATCGTGCGCAATGGTGACTTAAAAGCGGTGCTTGAAATTACAAGAGTAGGCTTGACGATAGTATCAATGTCGCTTATCAACATAGATTCAAGGTTTACATCTTTCGAAGTCGCCAGTTCTATTTGGCTTGAAATAATTGACGGCTCTTTCGATTCCGAGTGTATTTCTTCGAAAGTAGTTTTCGAACAGTTCGTAGCTTTTACGCGTATTTCAGATACCGGCGATTCTATCGGGCCTATCGTAGTATCAGAATTACGTTTTGAGTCTGGTAATTGAGGGGGGCTTGTATTATTTAAGCTAAAATGATTAGAATTTTCGGTGTTTTGGATATTGATTGCTGTCGGGACTGAATAATTATCAGTACTTTCATTTTCGCGTATAGTTGCGTCGGTCTGCACTAATTCTACTGAAGCATCGGGCAGTTGCGAAATTGGATGACTACTTTCACATAAAGTAAGATCAATATCGGAGCATTCCATCTGTTTTTCAATTGTAGACATTTTACTGGTAACTACTTTTGGTGATGGCAATGTTACGTTATTATCATTTGTGTTGGCTTTTTCAGTAATTGCTTGAGAGTCTAAGTAAAATGTACCCATTGAAGTTGTTTGGTCTTCATCGTTCAGATCATGTTTTTCTGCTGTTGTCTCAGATAGAATGTCATGTAAATCATGAAATTCCGTATATTCTCCCTTGCTAGCAATAAAATCTTTAGCTACAATTTGTAAAACATCAGACGTCATAGGCTGATTTATATCGGATTTATTTATTGTGTTTGAATTTTCGTCGTTTGTGGTCAAATTTTCAGAGAGTGCCGAATTATTAACAGCTTTTACTTGAATAGATTCGTTAACTGCTTTAGCTGAAGATTTAGTTGGCCCACCATCTAGTGGAGTAACTTCTAGCATACTGTCAAATTCCATTGACAAATTTTCGAAAGCTGTATTTTCAGTTTCGACTGTAGATTCTTTTTTGAATTTCTTGAACGGAGGAGTAGCAATTGACGATAGTATACGAGTAACATTTTCATTGCTGAAATCCCTTTCTGGCGGAATACAGAAGTTCTGACCACCCGTTGGTATTAATGTGTCGATAAATGATTGCATCGATGTTTCCGGTAGATCTTTACCATAGAAAGAATCTTCATTGCTTTCTTCAGGCGGATTATTACCTAAGCGAGCAATATTCTCGCCAGTGCTAGTTTCTTTCCAATAGGTAAGTTCCATGGTTTCATTTTTTAATTCAGTACGATCAGTTAAAGTCTTGTCACAAGTTTGATTATTTGCCACGCATGTCATTTCCATTGTGGTATTCATGTCTAGACGTTCAAAATTACCGACAAGAGTATCGTTACCAGTTTGATCAATATTCTAGCACACTCTTTTCATTGAGTTACAATTATCATCACGACTGTTGATAACATCTCTATCCCAAAATACCAATCGAGATGTCGATGACAATTTATAATCATCTCAACAGTCAAATCATTATCACTGTTTCGATTGGTGCCTTGGGATAGGGGTTTCATTACACCTATAATTATATCACCTTTAAGTCTTTAACAGATTAATCTAGTCCAGATTTTCGTAGGATTCATTCGACCTGAAGGTGAATCAATCTTACGAAAATCTGCATAAAGGTTTTACTTAATAGGACGTGAATATACTCTTGTAAATAGAAATTAATAATAAACAGTATCAATTCAAATTATTACCGACGGGATCATCATCGTCTTCTGTTTGCATTCTTTTCAGAATGCGGGGTGATCTACGAAGCCCTATGGCTGGGTACAGTAACGTTTAAATGTTAATTTACTTTTCAAATGTGAAATTACTCTAATTTATGTGCAGTTTGTGTATAAGTACTACCGCAAAAGTTGGAATATGTAACTAATAGGGCATAGCTAACCTGGAACTTTTTTCTTAGGAGATGGGGTGTTCATCTTAACCGTCATTCTGTTATCTGCTTAGTTAGGTAACAAGTACATGCTGACAATTACTACTCTGTAACATCCATCAGCTACGTCCTTAACTATACCTACTTTTAATAATTTCCTTAAGGGGCTCATTCTTAGATTTACCAAAGTTATCTTCTACTTCACCTATAAATGTTTCATAAAAGTTGTAATTACATACACAATAATATGTGATTATTGTTACACGGTTAGTCGCAGGAAAATTGAAAAAAGTAGCCTCTAGAGATTTCATACTTTGATTTTCTAGTGGCGATGTTTTAATTTCCCCAGTGAGTAACATTTCTAAACCTATTTAAAATACCAATACCAATATATTACACCAACAGTTAATGCGTGGTTATATATCGTAAGAAACAATTCATATAATTAATCTGCAAGAAAGGTTTGCTCATTAGCCTGATTCCTACGATTTTTTTAGCTTCTTTTGTTGATTGGGATCAGGCCAATGAACAAACGTTTCTTGCTTTATTGTACAAATCTCAAATATGATACATCATACGACGAACAAATTAAAATTCATACCTGGTATTGAGGGGTTAGGAAGCTTAGCAGGCTGAGATAAAATACCTTCATCTCGAATGAATTCTCTATGTAGTGATAGATTAAAATGGATAAGATTTAATTCATTAAATTGCTATATACTCAGCCTGGCACCTACATTTTATTGAATTATATTTATTACAGACAGAAACAGCTTAATTCTGATAAGTATCTTTAGCATATTTGTACTGATACACTTACTTGATATCGTTTGTATCCGCAAAACTAACTCTTCTGTTAGATGATCTCCTCTTCTTCTTAGCCCTATAAATGTATTCACATAATAAATAAAATTCAAGTTCTGAAATTAAAGGAAATTTAGGTTTATTACATTAAACAGCCACTATCTTTGTAATTTTTTCTCTTGTATTACGGGCAACTAGTTCTAAAATAACTAAATCGGCTTTACTTCTTGACAAAGTATCGCATAGTGCATAACTTAGCACGCAAGACAACGAGAGATTTTTTCTGTTTAAGTTACCATTTTTATTAGCAAATGTAAGCTTGTAGTCTCTTATACATTAGTGAACATCATCAGCAGTAATTTTACGTCCAATAAAACAACAGCGATCTCTAGTAATATCAGACAATAATCTAGTACAATAAAGTAAATACAAAGTTATGTATTTACATAGTTACGTACCTTGATTTCCCTATATCGTCATTTTCCTGCGTAGAAGTACGACATAGAACAAAGGCGATTAACATGAATTGTATGATATGATTATTTTGATACAAATTGTCATTAATTTACTACTCGGTCGATACCACTACATCTGCTATCAATGAATAATCATTGGGTATACAGGGTAACTAAGACCATTTGACTATAGAACCGACCAACAAATTTTAATTTAATCTAATGTTGTTGGCCATCAAGTTTTAAAGAAAGTATGTGTCGACTCAACACTGCACAGAATATTATACAATTTATTTCTAACACAGCGCTGACGTTATTAACCTTGTTGACTTGTAGTTCGCCTTCGATACTTAATCTTGGCGACTGGGTAGATTTTAGGATCTGAATAATGGAGAGAAAGTGAAATGTCGATTAGCGCAGATGAATATTTATAGAGCAGAAAAAATGAACCGATCATACACATGCTACTGCAATAGCTAGTCAGCTGGAGTATCGCATATTTAGAAGTCTACACTTTGTAGATTTAACCTTGATACAATTAATGCCGACTACCTATCATATTATTGCATGTTGTATCAAACAATTAAGTTTAAGAGAGTGACATCAACAGTGAGATTGTACTGTACATTGCCAAAATATAAATCAAGTGTTTGAAATCAAGTGTTTGTAGATTCCTTAGAGATCAACCGATCAATCAAATACCGTAAACGACACTCTTTTCGGTCAGCATACAATACCAGTTTGGTATCACATACGTGATGGGTGCATTACTACAGAGATGAGAGGTAGAAATACAGCTACTTTTTTTTGCACTTTCAGATGGTGTTAGAGAAATAAAATCACACTTACACTGCTTCTTCTCTTCGTTTTTGATGCCATAACTTAATAATCATCCAATGCCTATAATTTTGAAAGAGAAAAGGCTTGAGCAAGGTTGAGAGAGTAAATTTTTGAAGGTTATTAACTGTAAGCAGTATTCTTAATAAGTTCATTGAATTTGTAATATACGTACGTATACAACTTTGACTACAGCACTGTAATATACTAGGCGAAAACATTCGGTGTTGTTTTTTGTGACTGTAATGCAATGTTTTTCTCTAGAAAACCGCGTAACTATGCGTGGCACATTTCTTAAAAATGCGTGATTTGTTATGTGTAAGCATAATGCTGTAACAGTTACTATAGCACAGTGAAGACATTCGATGTTGTTTTTGTGACAGTAAAAATGCAATATTTTGCTCTACGAAACCGCGTAACTATGCGTGGCACATTTCTTGATAATGCGTAATCTGTTATGTGTAAGCATAATGCTGTAGCAGTTAACATACTGTAATTTAGAAAAGAGAACACCTTTGGAAAGTCATTAATCAAAGATGTGCGTTTCGATCAGAAAATGATTATTTCTTTGTGTTGGGGTATATGTCATTGCGAGATTACCATAATCATAGATGTTTGTACGCGTATAATTTACCTTACAAATACAGTATGTCTATGTTGGTCGATTTATTTCTTGGAAGGGCAATCACTAGCCATGAATGCGTAGGAGTTTATCGTTCGATAATATCTATTTTTGTATTTGACTATATCGGAAGCAATGGAAAATATTTTATTAGGCATCCAAAATTAGCGCCAGTAGATTGAGAGTCACTTGTTGCTCAATGTACTGTATTAGCGGATCAATATTGATCCACGATATAGAATAGAATGCTCGATCATCACTTGACTTAATGCAGTATCAGTAAAGAAGCCTAAAGTAAGGACGATCTAGGACTGCATGCGAATTTCTATATCTACGTATTGTACTTGCAGGATAAAATTGGTTTCATTAAATGCGTAAAACTGTAAGTTGATTTTCGCCAGTTCTAGCATCTATGTAAGCACAGAGATAATTTTATCTCGATGGTATAAACTCATCCGTTTTCCATCATTGTACAGTATTAGCTGATCGAATAAGATTGATTTGATCCGGTTCAGCAATACAGTATTCAAAGTGTGACAGTATGTCCACTAGAGGCCCTCTATTACAGTGTGCAGTATGAGTTGTTGCCATCAGTAGTTACAGCGTTCTGATCTGACAAGTCTAACGTTCCTTTGAACACCTACAAAATACCTGAAAGATCCTTTGTACGGGTTGCTTACTGTATGGCATTTGTCAATAAATTAATATTGGCACTGTGGATGTATTCCTAATTCAATGTTCATATTCAATTCATTTACAACTATCCGTTATCAACTAAATAGTAGTAGTGTTGTGTGAAATAGACCAAGTAACCTTGGCTGGAATGGATCCATCTATGATGTGTGCAACGATAATACGTTTTTTTTACGGAGATAACTACGACCGAAACATTCCTAACTCGGATAGTGGGAACTGTTGGTTGCCTGTAAATAATTACTACTACAGTACAGTAGTAGTTTTAGCGCTATCAACGGTTAACTTTATTATAATCCGCCAATGCTATCAAGGTTGTGAATGGCGAAATAATATCGCTCCGGTGCTATTTCTAACCTTCAATGTTGAAAAATTTCTTGCACTCGACGATCACCTTTTTCTTACACTTCTCACGACTGTGTAGAGAAGGATTTGGAATTTGCACTGACGCTCGTCAAGACGAGAGGCGACTGTAGTTGACTCGTTGATGGTCACCTAATCGAGCAGTCGATCGCTAGACTGACGTTTCTCTTGTTACCAATCAACAAAGATTCACTGAGTCCTTCTGGGTCGATACTTTTCTGTACTGTACTGTACGTTCTGTGGTTATGTTCTCTCTTTACTGTACGTTCTGTGGTTATGTTCTCTCTTTACTTACTGTACGTTCTGTGGTTATGTTCTCTCTGTACTGTTCTGATGTTCTCTCTTTACTGTACGTTCTCTGGTTATGTTCTCTCTGTACTGTATGTTCTCTGGTTATGTTCTCTCTGTACTGCACACTACTCGACAATTTTTCTTGCATTAACCACAGGGGCATAGAACAGTCAGTTTTGAATTTTGCGCCCTTCTGTTTACGCATGCGTAATATTCTTCCACTGGTTGTACTGACCGATCGACTGCGGACTGGTGGTACTGTGACGCCAGTGAACGGTGGTGACCAGCGGTTACGATTCAAATCCAAGCCTTTTGTTATTCAATCAGGCCACAGCTATGACGATTGGTGGATACGTTTTTCGAACAATACTTTCTTTGTTATCGTTGGTATTGTAGTCACTGATGTGACACTACTGCAGCTGTGACACCACTACGTACTGTAGATTCAAGTACTACTTTAGTACCATCCTATGTTGACCAACGTCGGCCCATCCACTATCTCATACTATACTCCATTCTTCATATACTGTACAGTAGCGTACTATCCACGATGACGGATACTACCTGGCGTAAACTGCCGTCTTTGCTCATTTACATAATTCACTGGGATAATTCATTTTTAAATTTAAATAACCGTAAATAGACTTCCAATAATAAAATAGGAAATAAAATACACATTGAAGAATCAAGGCATTAACTCAATTTGAAGGTAGATTCTATCCTTGAAGAGTTTGGGGACTCTTCTTGCCTCTTCCTATATGGTGAGTAGGTTATACTAATTACGTTATCAATCGCTGTTCTAAGAGAGTAGAGTATGTGTTAGGAGAATTCACTCACTGGCAACTTCTACAATTTAAGACAAGAATCACCGTAAGTACAGTAGTAGATCATGCAAATTAAACAAATCGAGATACATTAATGATCATTCGATGTATGAATCCTTGTTGAAATCAATGGATAGCTTGGCTGTTATCTGTTACCAACTCAAAATCGATACATCTGAGTCATAAACATTGTAAAATTGAAAATGGCTATCGACGTATAGTATCCTGTGGACTTAGTAAATCAATGTACAATGTACGTTAGGTGAATGAGCACACGACCTATGTATGAATCGTTGTTGAAATCCATTAATGGCGTGGCTGTAATAGTTGTCTGGCAGTGATTTAAAATCTCTTGTTCAGAACTACTGTATATGACGAGTGTTGTTGTTATTTTTTTCACCTCCATGGAGGATTATGGTCTACATACAAGATCTATCGTCATTTATGATGCTACCACTGAGCAATTTCGGTAGGAAACAATCATATCCATTGAAAAAGAAATATTGAAATAGATACTGCACAAGTGCTTAATCTATCTCGCTCAATGGCTCAAATGATCGACTTTTCATTACAGTATAATGCAGCCATCTCTAATTAAATTACATTTATAATACAAGGGACAAAGATGATTGGACTTGTGCAAACATGCACGTTATACACGATATAATTTTGTATGCATGCAAACTCTTCATGCAAAGAAAATATCTGCTAAGTGCTTTGAGCAGTCTGATATAGATAGATTAAGACTATCGTCATCGGTGACGCACGCACAGTGTTCTTAAAACTCAAGTATAGAAAATGGGCCTATTCACCAGGCATTCAGCGTCTATCATTGGTAATATCATCGATAAACATGGCAAATGTCTTAGTTACTAGCAATCACTATCCAATTGCTGTTAATGGAATAATAAAACTAAATCATATATCTTAGTGTTATAAATGTTGTAACAATAAATCGCAAATAACAAAGATAAATATTTTTATATTATGCTAAAAATTACTACGGTTTTAGTGCTAGTCTTAGTATTACGAAATTATTGTGACTTCATTTTGGTAGTAAATTATAAGATGAATGAATAGGTCAAACTAGTCCAACCATGAACCCATAAGGCAGGTTTTGTCCACAAAGAAACAAGTAATCATGTCTAAATAATGTGACAGACTGCAATTCTACCGTAATGGAAGCATTTATTTTGCAGATTGAAATTCGTGTGACTGTAATAAATGCGTCTCACAATAACTATCTTAGTCAAATGGTATTTTCTGATACGCTTTTATTACAAGGTTTTACGAATAGTAGAGCAATAATTAATTCCTACAAGAATCAAGACTAAAATCGAAAGTATTCCGAGCTCAAAGCAAAGCGAAGTCTCTCCTCCTCTGTGAGCTCATCTCTGCAGTTCTTATACACATTTCGTTCAATCCATTTATGACAACTTGATTAATCTACAGTACAATCAGACTTGAGTCATCAAACAAAATACTTTTCTCTAATAGTACATCAATATTTTCTACAATCGAAATCATTCTACTTAAGATGTCGCTACTCTTCTATTAACGTCTAGGCCCTTTCTCCGAAGGGCATCTTAACAACTACAGTGTTTCTAGCTACATCAATCTTGTACGATAATTAGTCAACTGGCTACTATTAGTCATCAACGATTTCTAATGTAGTAGTTAGCAATCAACTAATATTAGCTTCACGGTAATATCTATTCAAAGCAACCTAACTATATCAAATATAGGTATCTGTATAATCAAATATGGGTGCATCACTACAGTGACTTAAGCGCGTAGCGAAATCAAGAGTTTATTAAGCCACTACAAAGGCTTAGTCTACAACGCAAATTCAACCCACACTGTAAGATAGAGTGTGACATTTCATATTCACTTGAAACAGCAATGGTTTTGAATAAAAATTTCAACTGAAGCCTACTTAACTAACACAGACAGTATCAATTTCATGTATAATAGTTACCTACCGATCAAGTTTGCAATTAATACACTTAGCAATTACTTGTGCAGACTATCCGGATGTTTATTAGGACTTAATTCATATGTCGCTAGATCCTGTTGCAGTACTTGCATTTGTACTTGCTTTGCAAGTAAAATGCATAAATAACGTAGTTAAAGGTTAATCTAGATTATTGCCAACGGTTACACCCCATATAGTATTGGTCTGTTGCCTGATATTAATTCAACCGTACTAGGATTCTTAAACAATTGATATAATTAATATGATGCGTCTG